ATAACACTTTCCACCCAAATTAAATGAGCAATGTATAAAGAAAGCCCTCCCTTGCCTCTCATTGCATCGCAGCGAAATATGGCTCAGACAAACTTTACTGAAGATGAAAACCAGAAAACATTTACAGAACTGTGGTGCTCAGCGGAATTTTTAAGAAGTGTAGATGGCGAGCTTATTTTCCTTTCAGCTCTAAATATTTTTCTTTCCATTACTGCATTTCTGGGGAACACTCTTGTCCTAGTTGCCCTACACAAGGAAACTTCACTTCATCCGCCGTCCAAACTCCTGTATCGTAACCTAGCGATAACTGATCTCTGTGTTGGTATCATTACAGAGCCTTTGGCTGTGACTTATTTGACTTCTGTTGTAAACAGAAGATGGGATATTTGCTATTACGCGACTCGGGCAGCAGCTTTCTTCGGTAGTACTTTGGGCGCAGTGTCTTTATTAACATTGACTGCAATAAGCGTAGACAGACTTCTCGCCTTGTTGCTGGGGCTCAGATACAGACAAAATGTAACTTTGAAACGGATGCATATAACTGTCATTGGTTTTTGGATTTTGTCTATCGCCGGTGCATCTACTTACTTTTGGAATCGTTATATATCTTCATGGTGTCGATACATAGTTGCAACTCTGTTTCTAGTCACTTCAATCTTCGCTTACACAAAAATTTCCTGTACTCTGCGTCATAATCAAATACATATTCATAACCATGTTGCTCAAGGACAACCGAGCCAAGCAATTCCACTGAACACAGCCCCATACAGAAAGGCAGTGTACAGTGCAATGTGGGTGCAGGTAACATTAATTGTTTGTTATCTGCCTTATGGTATAGCGGTCGCTTTGACACCTCAAAAAGAGATTTCCTTAGCCATTTACCGTCTTAACGAATTTACTGTTATGTTGATGTATTTAAACTCGTCATTAAACCCGTTACTGTACTGTTGGAAGATCCGAGAAGTGAGGCAAGCTGTAAAAGAAACATTAAGGCAAATATTCCGCTGTTCAAGTTAGGGTACTATATATGCTTCCGCTGTATAGTAATACTGACTAAAATTCATGCGAAAACTGCCGTTTAACCATATACATTTAATACTGTTGTGAAGTATTTTCAAAGTTATTTTCAAAGTTTTGTTTGGGTCAAGGTTAGTATTGATTTTGTCCACATAATTAGGTCTTTTTCTGTTTTGACCTTTTGTTTTTACTTGTACTTGCATTTTAGCTTAGCACGCGGATTTACTTAATGCCATCTTAGTAATATTCTTCGCTTGCCATTGTCAGCTGTTAGTTGTTCTTAGGCGTGTTTGCGATGTTAGTGCTGACCTTGGTTCTTAAGTCCCGTTAAAGTTCCTGTTTGGGTTTATTAACCAGCGTTTTAGATTTTAATTGGTTTGTAGCTTCTTACCGATCGAAACTACACTGCGAATAGTCCCCATTTTTCCTCAGTGATAGTATAAGCGAGTGCGCTTGAAAATCACCCCACGCCGCGTCTCGCCTTTCTCGCGTGGGGTGGTTTTCACGCGCGCTCGCGTTTCGCTCGCTCTACTATCCCTGAGGAAGAATGGGGACTACTCGTAGTCTAGATCGAAACCATGTAGGTTCAATAATACCAAAACATTACCCACACTAAGTTCACCACGATTTTATTCCCACGGTCAGTTAACCCAAACATGTCCAGCTTTGGCTACAAAAACCGTTGCTATTTGACTTGTTAGAGAAGAAGATTGAAGTAGGAGTCGAATAAAAGTACTTAATAGACAGGTGTTCTTTTCCATAAACTGTTTTTCAGAGAAAAAAAAAAGAGACGTCCAGTCTTAATGACCGGTTTAAACGCAACTTCGTTTCCAGGCTTCCCCTCTCGTTTACGTATACTCACGAAACAAACATGGCGGACTGATACATATAAAACCTCAACCGATTCCCAACATTAGGTACAAAGATTTTGTCAGAGTCAGTCTGTTTTTAGGCT